ATCCTGGGTAATGGGGTTTGCTGGAGGTTTTGTCGTTTTGAATTATGCCCTCCCCTTTTCCCTGCTGTTCCAGCCTGGCATGGGGGTGCCAGGAGTGCTGGGAGCCCGGTAAGTCTCCAGGATGGGCAGTGCTTGGGGTGGAACCCAGGGTGGAATGGTTGTAGTTGGTTGGACAGTTGCAGAGCCTTGAAGCTATCCTCTTGGGGGTCAGAATGTTCTTAGAAGGGTCATGCATTCCCCTGGATTGTGTCTGCCCCTTCCTGTGTGGGTATGAGCCAGATGCTAGGATGTGCTTCCAGAAGACTGGGACTATGGCCAGAAACAGGTTCTTTGGGAACAGAGATCTGAGCCATTGGCGGGGGGGGGGAAGGGGGGGGGGGGGGGGGGTGTGTGTGTAGAGACAGCAGGGGGTTGGTGAATGTGAGGAGGCTGAAGCACAATGTCATGGATGCATGGTGATGGGAAACTCATTTTGCTTTCGGCTCTGTCCCCAACAGCTCTGGGGACTGACAGTGAGGACACAGGGACTGATAGAACCAGGCGTCTCACTGGCTAGGGAAACACGTGTTCTAGCTCATGACTTTCTTTCCATTTCTTGGAAACTGGCAGAGGTTTGGGTTGGAAATGATGTAGGGTTAGGGAGAAGAACTAGTACTTATCAAGTGTATATACTATGTGAAGAGGGAACTGTTTGAGTCTTTCCTTACCACCATTATTATCCCCATTTTACAGATGATGAAACTGACTCAGCCAGATTAACTAATTTGTGCAGCTAGCAAATAATCATGCTAAGGATAGAAACCTGGTCTTTCTGAAGTTCATGCTTCTAATGAAGTATTTTAAAGAGCCAGGCCTTTGGTGATCTTTTCCAAATGCCTCTCCAACCAAAAGTTTTGTATTCCTTATCCATCATATATCTTAGGAGGATGGAAGCTATTGCTGATGCTAACGGATTGAAAGGCATGCTGGTCCATGGGGTATGACTGAAAGACCTTGGCTAAGGGTGACGTTAAGGATGGGTTTCAGAGTGTGCAGAAAGTTCCCCAGCCTGGCTTCTGTTTTGTGGACCTCTGTGTGTATGTTGGGAGTGCTGCTCAAGTGTCTGGTCCTGTGGCTACTTGGAGTAGGCGCTTGGTACTTTCCCCCTTCAGCCCCTAGTGAGCACAAATGTCACTGTTGCTAGTTTAGCAGATTTAAGTATAAGGGGCCCCTCAAGGTGCCCTGTGAGCCTGGAGATGCTCTGCCCTGGTGAGGAGGACATAGGCAGTTACGCATCATAATGCTTTCACCCCCACCTTCTGATCTGGCCTCGGCTGAAGGTGTCTTAAGTCTTACTACCCCAGGAAACCTGAGGTCTGGGGCTAGTTGGAGTACCCATGGTTTCTGTAACTTGGGCCAACCATATAAAACCACTGTGGTCCTGAGTTTTGTTTTCCGTCAGGTTTGTGCTAGATAAGCTTCACAGTTTTGGCAAGGATCAAATGGAATTAGACATGTACAAGAACCTTGAAAAGTTAAAAGCACAAAGTGCATGGGAATATTATCTACTCATCCATTCTTCTATTCAAGGAACATTTATTTAGATCTTACTAGGAATTGCAGGCAGTCTAAGAGTGATGCAAATGGAAAACCGTTTGATCACTTACCAAAATGTTGATGGTTTGAACTCACCTAGAGGCACCTCAGAAGAAAACAATTGATTACTTCCAAAAGTCATAGCCTTGAAAAGCTCATGGAGCCCAGTTTTGCTCTTATGACATGTTGGGTTGCCTTGAATTGGTAACAACTTGGTGGTAACTGGTTTGGTTTTGATTTAGGTGTTGTAGATACAGCATTGAACAAAATAGGCAAACTTTCTTGCCCTTGTGGAGTTGACATTCCAGTTAGGAGACAACAAGCAAATAAGAAAAATACATAGAATGACAGTTGCTGATAAGAGCTGTGGGGAAAAAGAAAGCCTGAAGCTGGGGAGAGAGATAGGGAGCTCCAGGAAACAGGTTGCTATTTTAGGAGGGCAGTTAGGGACAGTTTCACTGATGAGAGGGCATTTGAACTGTGACCTAGAGGAGGTAAAGGAGTAAGCCCTGCACCTCTTGTTCTGAGCAGAAGGAGCAGATGTGTGTGTGTGGTGCGGTGCGTGGTGTGTGGTGTGTTGAATTTCAAAGAGGCTCAGATACCTGAGTGTGGTGAGAAAGATGAAGTGTCATTGGTATTAGTTCCCAATAACTGCCCTATACTAACGCTCTTGAGCTTTCTTTTATTTTAATAGATACTTATTGAGTGCTTACTATGATCCTGGGTAGCACAAATGGTTTGCACTTAAATACTAAAGGTGCAAATCCACCCACTAACACTGTGGAAGAAGGGCCTGTTCATCTGCTTCTTGGTTTGTTGTTGTTAAGTGCCGTCAAGTCGGTTCCGATCCATAGTGACCCTGTACAGGGTTTCCAAGGCTGTAAATCTTTATGGGAGCAGAAAGCCTCGTCTTTCTTCCGCGGAAAGACTGGTAGTTTTGAACTGCTGACCTTGGTTCGCAGCCTGATTCGTAACCAAGAAAATCATACATAGCAGTTCTCCGTTAACACAAGGTCAACATGAGTCAGAATCTACTCAGTGACCATGGCTTTTGTTTTTTGTTTTTTATGTTTTATTGTGAATTATGTGACAGTTTACATGGGAGAACATTAGCTTTACATTCATCCTATCTTGTATCATTTCATTGCCATGGTTACAATCCCCTCCATGCATCACCAACCAACCAAAGGGTATACACTGCAAGCCTGCCCCTGACTCCCCCGCCTGCCCCAGTCATCAGCACACAGCCCCTCTCTCTCTCTAGTTCCAGAGTCCCCATCTGCTCCACATCATCGTCTCTGCCTCCATCTCTGGCATCACTGTTTCTCTGGGTAGGGTCCTGCACTCCGTTCTTCTCCCTTGATGGTCCCAGGGACCTCCGCTCCTGGACTGCAAAGTCAACCACTCCCCTCCTTTTGCTACAAAACGTCTACCTTTACATTTCCAACCCTCACAGTCAATCCTGATAACAATTATTCAATATTGTACACAACAAGAGTCCTATCCCTAACTCCTTTCATCAGCCTCTCCTAGACAGATTGGATACTACTCAGTGGAGATTCTACCTTCCTCCATGCCCTCTAGATCTAGGTTCCCTGTTGAAAGCTTGTAAGTCAGTCACTTCTTGCCTTTGTAGCCTCCCCCGCAAAAACTTTGGGTAGCTAGTATTCAAGTTGCCCATCCCAGTCTACTCTGTATGAAGGTGGTGGGAATGATCCTCACTGTAAAAATTTGTTCTCTCTTTTGAGCTACTGCACCCGTAGGTGTAGGTCAAGTTCATCAAATTGTATCAGATTCAGATTACTCTTTTTTCCTCTTCTTTCTTCTACTAGTTGAGCTCTGTTCATTGAAGCTAGGTCAAGTGGGTATTAGCTGCAAGTGTGGGTGTTCTTATGCATATGCCCTCTCTTCTTATCAGCTGGATGCTTCACTATCTATTCCAGTCCTCTGTGACTATGTCACTGACTCTGGGCCTAAGAATCCCCAGGTTTTGTCACATTGCTGGCCAACCAGATCTCAACCAGGTTCACAAGAGTCTATTGAACGTTGTAGGGCTTAGCTTGCCGCTTCATTGCTGTTTTTTCCTCACTTCCCCTTATCAGTGACGAATGTAGTCACCAATCAGACCGTGTATTTCCATTTAGTTTTAGACCCCTGAAGGGACCTGACCACTTGCCTGCCTTGATGTCTCCTGGGCTAGCAACTTGCTTGTTCTTGAAGTAATCAGTCGGACTGCCGTTACTGTTTTGTTTGTTTTCTAACTAGGCACAGTAGTTGGTGCTAGGGATAAAACCAAACCCAAGCCAAACAACCTCCATTGAGTTGATTCCGACTCAGCAACCCTATAGAATAGAGTAAACTGCTCTATTGGGTTTCTGAGACTTTACAGGAGCAGACAGTCTCATCTTTCTTCTGTTGAGTGGTTGGTGGATTTGAACTACTGACTTTGCAATTAACAGCCCAATGTGTAACCCATTACACCACCAGGACTCCTTGCTAGAGATAAAGAGCTCAACAAATCGATTTAATACTACCTTCACAAAGTTCATAGTTATGGGGCAGAGACTCACATTAAATAAGGAATTACTTGCTTATAATTGTGAGAAGTACTACGGGAAGAAAAGTACAGAGGGTGAAACGGGACCTTACTTATTTTGGGTAGGGGAGAAACTTTCCCTGAGGAAGTGACATTTAAGCTGTGACCTGAGAGAGAAGTTGACTTTAGCTTGGTGAAGTGTGCATTAGAGTGTATGTGTGTGTGTGTGTGTGTTTGTATGTGTATGACGGGAAAGGATGAGGAAAGAGATTCTCTTTTGTACTAAGGCCACACGCTGAATTCATTCCACAGATCTGACTAATTTGGCCTGAAGTGCTAAAGAAAAATGTGGATTAATTACTAATATTTAAAAATCAGAAGATGTCACATTAAAATCTAGACACCCCCCAACTCCAACTATTGACCAATCAGAAGACCAGACCCTCTTGGGATGCCAGTATCAACAACCTATTGATGCTGAGTGCTGTTTACCCCATTGCTTAGTGTATGAACCCTTCTAGTTCTTTGCAGTTCGCTTGAACTTTACATGGACTGTTACTCTCATTGACTCAAAGCACTTGAGTTTGTGATCCCTCAGAAATCTCTTTTTTAAAGAACTGGTGAATTTTAAGGACATGGCTTTGGAGTCACACTGATCTGGGCTGGAATCTGGATTTGCCCACTTCTGTGGCTGCTTGATCTTGGGCAACTTCCCCTCTCTTTGTGTTAGGCTCCTCACCCGTTGAACGGCGATACCACTGTTTATCTCAGAGTAAGGTCATGAGGATGATGTGTATGAAGCACTTAGCTTGGCAATAGGAAGTACTCAGTTAATGGTAGCTGCTGCTGCTGGTGGCAGTGACCAACATGGTGGTATTAATACTATCTTCTTCCTTTTCTCCCAGCAGCATGTCGTGGTTTAGTGGTCTGCTAGTCCCGAAAGTGGATGAACGGAAAACAGCCTGGGGCGAACGCAACGGGCAAAAGCGCCCGCGCCGTGGGACACGGACTAGTGGCTTCTGCACACCCCACTATATGAGCTGCCTCCAGGATGCAGAGCCTCCCAGCCCAACCCCTGCAGCACCCCCTCGGTGTCCCTGGCAGGATGAAGGCTTCATCCGCAGGGGTGGCCTAGGCAAGGGCACAGAGTTGGGATTGCGTGCGGTAGCCCTGGGCTTTGAGGACACAGAGATAACAACGGCAGTAGGGGCATCTGAGCTGGCGCCCAATGTGGTGCCCAGGAGTGGGCGATCCTGCTGGCGCCGCCTAGCACAGGTGTTCCAGTCGAAACAGTTTCGCTCTGCCAAGCTGGAGCGCCTGTACCAGCGGTACTTCTTCCAGATGAACCAGAGCAGCCTGACGCTGCTGATGGCAGTACTGGTGCTGCTCATGGCTGTGCTGCTGGCTTTCCATGCCGCACCTGCCCGCCCTCAGCCTGCTTATGTGGCGCTGCTGGCCTGTGCTGCCACCCTCTTCGTGGCACTCATGGTGGTGTGTAATCGACATAGCTTCCGCCAGGACTCTATGTGGGTGGTGAGCTATGTGGTACTAGGCATCCTGGCAGCTGTGCAACTTGGGGGGGCCCTGGCAGCCACCCCTCACAGCCCCTCTGTAGGCCTCTGGTGCCCTGTATTCTTTGTCTACATCACCTATACCCTTCTACCCATCCGCATGCGGGCAGCTGTCTTCAGTGGCCTGGGCCTCTCCGCCCTGCATTTGATCTTGGCCTGGCAACTCAACCGTGGAGATGCCCTCCTCTGGAAGCAGGTAGGTGGTAAGGGAGGTAGGCATGGAGAACACCAGACAGGCAATGAGAAGAGGTCTAGTAAGGGAAGGGTGTGAGGACACGGGTGCTGAGTGGAGACTGGGTTTGGGATATCTAGTGATATTTAGGAGGAGGGTTAAGAGCTGGAGGCTCAGTTTTAGGGGCCAGCCTCTATTTGGGATGTGGGGCAGAGGGTACTGCCAGGGGAAAAAAACGGCCACAGGAATTCAGCCACCAGGACCCAAGCTCCCTGTATTCTCACCCATCTGCTATAGTCTAGCTGTTTGGCTTGAGGCCCCTGAACTACTGAGGTCTATAGGATTGTAATGTAAGGTGGGAGGTGGGGGTGGTGTTTCTGGTGCTTAGCCCCAGTGATACCTTAGAGGGCAGTGCAGGTTGAGTCCAGACCTTGACATCTCGAGCCTTGTGTAGACATCTGAAAGTGAGGTCCTGGTGCCTCCCGGGGGTGATCAGAAGGAACTGAGCAAACTTAACATAGCGTTGACGATGGAGAAGGCATCTCTTCTCTGGACCAAAGCCATCTCTGGAGAGGACAGGGAAGGAGAAGAGCTAGGGTCAATTCTTTCTGGGGGCTGGGCATGGTTTGAGTGGGGTTGGAATGTAGAAGAGAGGCTCGTTGAGGGTCTGATCTTATCCTGCCCTTTCCATTCTGGGCCCCAGGGACCTGGCAGCCCTGCCTTGAAGTTCTCTGATACCCAGGGTACCTACTGCCTTGGGGTTCTCTATGGTGTGTGAGGTGGGGCTCCTGTGGAGCGAAAAATAAGGACTTGGCAGCAGGTTGACCTGGCTGTTGAATGGATCGCAGTCTCCACTGTGGGTTCTTTGACAGCTATTCTCACCTCTCAAGGCGTCAGTTTCCCCAACCTACAAAACTAGGCTAAAAATCATTTTAAAATCAAGATGTTGCTGTTAGTGCACCATCCTTTCCCAGAGTGACATGTACTCTCGCCTGGGACCAGGAAGTGTTCCAGGGGATGGTACCCAGTGAGGGAGCTTCTCAGAAGTGAAGCCAGCCATCTCACTGGGTGAGGGAGTGTGGGCTGGGATGCCATTGGTCAGCACAGGGAGCAGAAACTATGGAGCTGGTCCTTCTGAGGCTTATTTAGACACAGTCCTTATACCAGTGCAACTCAGGGCACCCAGAAGCCCCATGAGTTAGAGGGGACTGGCCTCTGCTTTGCTCAGGGTTTCAGGGAGCTACTTCCAGGGCTGGTGGCATACGGCTTACCATAGCCCCACCCACAAAGAGGAAGTTACCTGGGGCTCTCAGGGTGAGAAGCTGGGTGCCCTGGCATGATGCCCTCCCCCACCCTGCCTATGCTCCAGAACAAACCGTACCTTTTAAAAGTAACTTTATAGCTCATTTGTTTGTGGACCACATGCCTGCAGGGCACTGTCAGATCTCTTAAAGGGCCAGGGGTCTTCTCTTCTTGCTAGCCCCCCAGCTCCTTTTCCAGGATAGCTGTGCAGGTGGGCTTTGTGGCTGGGCTGCCTTCCTGGGGGTACCTTCCCTTGATCTTCCTCTGGCCAGCCAGGGGGTGAGTGGGTGTCTACCCTGCTCTCAGCTGGCATGGTGCCCAGAACCAGGCCAGTGCCTGTTTGGGAAGGTACAGCCCCAGGGAGGCCAAGACTGTGTCAGCTGCTGACCTCCCCCAGGAGCGCCCATGTGCAGCCTCACCTAGTGGGTCTCAGCAGGCATATTCTTTGGGTGGGTAGGTAAGTCCCCTTGTGGCAGACCTTGAGCACCATGCCTTCCCCCTGAGGTGCGAATGAGTTCTTGAACCTAGGTGAGTTTGGATGGAGGGGGAGCTTGGGCAGGCTGCTCCTCTGACCTACTCCTCAGACACTGAGCAGTTTCACAGTTTCACACAGTGTCCCAGGCCTAGCCTAGCATCTCCTTCAGTCCCCTGGTATCCATTTTTTCTCACAGTCAGATAGAGGGGTGTGTGCGCACAGAGTTATTTCAGTCTCTCGTCCCCCTTCCCCTTCCCTCCACTGTGACTCACATTTTCCTCTTGGACTCCTGGGGCCAGGAAGGGAAGTTGCCTGGTTTGCCCCCCCTTTCCTTCTCCCCCACTGGGGGCTATTCTTAGAAACCCCAAAGGGAGATAGTGTGCCCCTCTCTTAACCCCTGCTCTGTGGGGAAGTGGTGGAGGGAGGGCCTTGACCCAGTTGGTCTTGGTTTTGGGATCTAGACTGAGAAGGGAAGCTGGGAGCCAATCTTAGAGGGTCAGAACCAGAAGAGGCTAGGGGCTTAGCACTCCACTGCTCCAGTTCACCTAAGGGGAAACTGAGGTCCCAGGGATTAAGTGACCTGCCCACATTTACAGGATTAGTTATGGTTCTGGAAAAACCCCAAACTCCTGGCTTCCAGTTGGTGCTCTTTCCCTCCCTTCTCAAACCAGAGGCCTGTCCCAGCCAACTCTAGGGTGGAGCCCAGAGTGCCAGGTTAACTCCTAAGTTTCCACAAACACTGATCCCAACTTAGACTTGCTCTTCAGCCAGCGCTACTAGTGATGCTTGGGGCCAGGAGGGGCAAGGCATGGGGGACTTATGCCTCAGGGATGGCCTGGCATGGTGGCGTTCCATCCACAGTTGACAAGCTTCTTTGTGTCGGTAGAATTGGTGGCTTCCCAGCCTGGGCGCTAGGGCTTAGCCTCTAGAGCTCTAGGCAAACAGAGTGAGCAACAATCTTGGAAATCAGGCAGTGGGTTAGGACATAGGTTTTGGAGTCAGACTGTTCTGGACTGATATCCTTTGCCATGTATTTTGAGCTGTATGATTGTGGGCAAGTTACTTTCTGTCTTTAAAATGGAATAGTATTACCTATCTCACAGAATTGTAAAAAGTACATTAGATAACATATAGAAGGCCCCCATAGAACTCTGGAGCACTGAATAAACTAGCCACAGTGATAGTAATGGTAATTATGATTGTCAGTTACGTCAGGGCAGGCAGAGAGAGGTCATATTCCCCCTCTGCAGGTTATAGATGAGCAAATGAGGTCCCCAGAGATGAAGTCACCTGTGTGGGCCCCTGACAGGATTAGTGCTCAGGTCTCCTGGGTGTTGTCCTGTGAGGAGAAACACATGCAGAAGGAGCAGTGTTTGCCTTTTGTTTAGGATGTGTGTGGGACTGGACCCTTTGACCTACCTGGTCCTAGTTGGTGTTTCTGCTCCCACGAGCTTTGGAATGATCTCATTTCTAGCTGTGAAGTGCTCCAGGCAGGGGATAGGGACTGGAGTCCTATGAGGCATAGGGGTTGTGTACTGCAAGGGTAGGACCCTGGCTGACTCCTCACATGAGCTTCCACAGGGAGCCACGAAAGTGTTTAGGAAGAGGGTGGTTACCTGTCTGCCTCTGCTACCCTCCTGCAGCTCGGGGCCAACGTGTTGCTGTTCCTCTGCACCAACATCATTGGCATCTGCACACACTACCCAGCTGAGGTGTCTCAGCGCCAGGCCTTTCAGGAGACCCGTGGCTACATCCAGGCCCGGCTGCACCTGCAACATGAGAATCGGCAGCAGGTGGGACTGCTTTCCCTGCCCAGGCCCTCTCCCAAGCCCGGCTTCAGAGAACTTGCAGAGCAGATTCTCTGCCCTTGTACACATCTTTGGGGTACAGTATGGATGTTTTTGCTTGTATTTTTGCCATGTCTCAGAGGTCCTGCGACATGGGGGTTCCTGTGTTGTCTGAGGATGAAGGGAGGAAGAGAGAAAGTGGTCAGAGAGACCTGGCATGTGTATCTGCTGAGGGTTCTTACGGGGCTGGGGCAGACCACAGTCCAGATGAGATGCCCAGACTTCCAGAAGGGTCTAGGAGGTCCCTGAGAATGTGGAGGGACCAGAGGGATTTGGATGTGAGGCAGAGAGGAAGGTGGTGCCCTGATGAAGCCACTGGTCTAGGAGCGGCTGCTGCTGTCCGTGTTGCCCCAGCATGTTGCCATGGAGATGAAAGAAGACATCAACACAAAGAAAGAAGACATGATGTTCCACAAGATCTACATCCAGAAGCATGACAACGTCAGGTAGGGTGGGGATGGGAGAAGGCCAGGCGGGGTGTGGGGTCTGGGAGTCTGGAGGGTACTTGGTCCCTCCATTCTCTGCTGTCATCCCAGCATCCTGTTTGCGGACATCGAAGGCTTCACCAGCCTGGCTTCACAGTGCACTGCGCAGGAACTGGTCATGACCCTGAATGAGCTCTTTGCCCGCTTCGACAAGCTGGCTGCGGTGAGGGTGCTGGGACTGGAGGTTGAGCAAGCCATGGTGTGGGGGAAGACAGAGTCTGCAGTGAGGGTGGTGGGCTAGGTAGGCCAGAGGAGCAAGAACAGAGGTGACCCCCTCCCCCCAACTTTGGTCCCCTTCAGGAAAATCACTGCTTGAGGATCAAGATCTTAGGGGACTGCTACTACTGTGTGTCAGGGTTGCCGGAGGCCCGGGCAGACCATGCGCACTGCTGTGTGGAGATGGGGGTGGACATGATCGAGGCCATCTCGTAAGCAGTGCCCCGCTCCCAGGCTCCCTGGGACACTGGTGCCCCAGACGCCTTCCCCTCTTCCATGCATCCTGAGTCATGGCTCCTCCTCTATGAGCTCCTTCACCTAAAGGGAATGGCCTTTCTCTTCACCATCTAGACACATTGCCTCTTCCCTGGGCACCCTTAGGTCCCAGCCAGATTGGGTGTTGGGTCGGGAAAGATCTGGACTGAGAGAATGCAGGCTGAGCAGGGCTGAGGGGACAGTGGTGACACCTCTCCAGCTCAGTTCCACAGGATACCACGGGCTCTGCTGACTAATACAGTTCTCAAACATGTGACCTTGAGCTTCTGCCTGCTGCACCTGGCTCTACCCTTGCCCGTTTAGCACTGAAGGGAGTGAGGGGCTGGGATCTGGTGGGAGTGGGACAGGCTATGCCAGAAGCTGAGCCTGAGCCACATCCTCCCAGGCTGGTTCGTGAAGTAACAGGCGTGAACGTGAACATGCGTGTCGGCATCCACAGTGGGCGAGTGCACTGCGGTGTCCTTGGCCTGCGGAAATGGCAGTTTGACGTGTGGTCCAATGATGTGACTCTGGCAAATCACATGGAGGCAGGGGGCCGGGCCGGGTGAGTGGAGGGGGTCCTGGTGGTGGGGGATGGGAGCGAGGTGGGACCACCTAGGTCTTATTCTCCTGACCCCACACAGTCGCATCCATATCACTCGGGCCACGCTGCAGTACCTGAACGGGGACTACGAGGTGGAGCTGGGCCGAGGTGGCGAACGCAACGCATACCTTAAGGAGCAGCACATTGAAACATTCCTCATCCTGGGTGCCAGCCAGAAGCGGGTCAGGCCCAGGGGCGAGTGGCAGGGGGAAGGAGAAATGGTTGGAGGAGTAGGGAGAGGCCTTGTCTGGGCGCCCTCTTCTGAGCCTGTACCCATACCGCTTGCACAGAAAGAGGAGAAGGCCATGCTGGCCAAGCTGCAGCGGACACGGGCTAACTCTATGGAGGGGCTGATACCACGCTGGGTGCCCGACCGCGCCTTTTCCCGAACCAAGGACTCTAAGGCTTTCCGCCAGATGGTGAGACCCCACAGCGCCAGGATGCAGGGCTTCACTTCCATGTCTCCCTCGACACTACCTGCCCTTCCCCTCTTCTGGGTTCCTCGTGGCAGCTGCATCTCCACAGATAGTGATTTCTAGTGTTGGGGACAGGAAGGATGATTTCATCCTAGGGGGTCCCAATCCCTCAGACTGTATGGCAGGGAAACCCGTAGCACAAGGTTAGAGGTGGTGAGAGGGGTCCTAGAAGGTGATGGTCTGTTTCTCACCTCGCATACTCTGTTCCTTTTTACAGGGTATTGATGATTCCAGCAAAGACAAGTAAGTAGTCCTGGTTTGGAGAACTTTGCAAACTCTTATTCCTGGGATAGGGCTGCAGGGAGCCGAGATCCTTCCTTTCCTCTCTCTGGATGTGTTGTTGGGGGCTGCCTGTGCCTTCTCCCCCTGACCTGGGCAGTACTCCTGCACCTGTTGGAGCCATTTCCCCTGTCCTCAGCCGCAGTGCCCAAGATGCCCTGAACCCTGAGGATGAGGTGGATGAGTTTCTGGGCCGTGCCATTGATGCTCGCAGCATTGACCAGCTCCGGAAGGACCACGTGCGCCGGTTCCTGCTCACCTTCCAGAGAGAGGACCTTGAGAAGAAGGTTTGGGAGACACAGGGCTGGATGGGGGACTGGGGAGAGGTCCAGGCAGGGAAGTTTGAGCATATTGTGCTGCAGGATAATGTGCTGGACCATAAGGTCAGTTTAAACTGCAAGGTTGGCAGTTCAAACACACCAGTTGCTCCTTGGAAATCCTATACAGGGTCGCTATGGGTAGAATTGACTCGACGGCACTTAGCAGCAACAACACAGGCCAGAATAGGGGTCTGTATTACTTGGACCACCTGCTTCTCCTAACGTTTGAGGCCCCTGGTAGTGTGTTGCTCTTGCTACATCTCCCAGAAATGACCCAGTTCCCAGCTCAGCCTCCTCTTCTTCAGTACTCCCGGAAGGTGGACCCCCGCTTCGGAGCCTATGTTGCCTGTGCCCTGTTGGTCTTCTGCTTCATCTGCTTCATCCAGCTCCTCATCTTCCCACAGTGAGAACCCTAGTCGTCCTCTCTGCTTCTCCGCCCCTCCATCACTTCCCCAAATATGCACCCAAATCCACAGTCCCTGTATTTGCATCCTGGCCTGTCCTGGGGTGGGACAGGGATTCTCAGTCTTCCAGAGTAACGTTTTCCTTGACCCTGTTCTGTCCCAGCTCAACCCTGATGCTTGGGATCTATGCCAGTACCTTCCTGCTGTTGCTGATCACCGTGCTGATCTGTGCTGTGTACTCCTGTGGTTCCGTATGTAGGAGACTTCAGGGGCTGCTGGGTGGGCAGGCTGAGTGATGGGAAGGGGGAGGGGTCAGCTAGGGGAAGAGAAGAGAAGGCCTTACCTCTCCAGTTGCGCCCTGTTCTTGTTGGCCTCCCCTGTTGGCTGGCACGCCTCCAACTCTCAGTCTCTTACCCACCTCCAGCTGTTCCCTAAGGACCTGCAACGTCTGTCCCGCAGCATTGTCCGTTCGCGGGCACACAGCACTGCAGTTGGCATCTTTTCGGTCATGCTTGTCTTCATCTCTGCTGTCGCCAACATGGTAAAGGTCCAGTGGGAATTTGCCTACCTCTGTTCTATGCCAAGCACTGCTCTAGGCACTGGGGGTGTACGGGGAGGAATAAGACCCATTTCCTGCTCTCAAGGAGCCCACAGTTCTGAAGGAGGGAGTTGGGATTAACTTTCCATTTGTCTTTCCTTCTTGCTTTCCCTGTCTCTTTTGATACCTGATTGAGAGCTTTGGCCTGTGGGGAATAAAGAACTTGGGCATGGCCCTTGTGACCCTTCCCCTCCACTTTGATATGCCTCCCCAACTTTTGCAGTTCACCTGTAACCATACTTCCATCCGGACCTGTGCAGCCCAAATGTTGAATTTAACACCCGCCGACATCACCGCCTGCCACCTGCAGCAGCTCAATTACTCACTGGGACTGGATACTCCCCTGTGTGAGGGCACCGCACCCACCTGCAACTTCCCTGAGGTGTCCGAGCAGTGCTCAGGCAGGGTGGGAGGGCCTGACCACTACCAGTTATTGACCCCTCGGTGCCAGGCCTGGTGATGGGGACTCTGGGGCTCACAGAAGCAGCCAGGACATAGTGTAGGGACTGGGGGTGGAGGGCAAAGGATGTTTGGGTTTGAGGGTCATGAAGGGGCCCTTAGGCCAGGCAGGAGAGTGCAGGGCTCCCCCTGCACGGGCCACCCTGGTCTCAGCCTTCCTCCAACATTGCCTTTGCCATCGTCCCCCAGTACTTCGTTGGGAACATGCTGCTGAGTCTCTTGGCCAGCTCTGTCTTCCTGCACATCAGCAGCATTGGGAAGTTGGCTATGATCCTTGTCCTGGGGCTCATCTACTTAGTGCTGCTTCTGCTGGGTCCTCCAGCCACCATCTTTGACAACTATGACCTGCTGCTTGGCGTCCATGGCTTGTGAGTCTGTTTTCAGGGTTGAATCCCCCTGCTGGGTCCCTGGGAGTCTCTCTGGTACCCTTGCCCTTTCCTTGGGGAACATAGAGGAACTTCTAGCACATGACCCCAAACAGTCACTTCAAGGAAATCCCAGTCCTGGGAAATCCCTGTGTCTTTAGACTAAATGTTGAAAATACATTCCCTGTCACATTTGCATGGTGCTTTCATATCTGTTGTTTTAACCACCTGTGGTCACATAGCTGCTTGGTGGCAGAACCCTGGCCAGGAACCAAAACTTCTGACTCCTACTTGAGGTCTTTTCCTGGACATGGAATTTTTCTCTAAAACCCCACCCCTGGAGATACAGTGGGTTAGTGTTGGGCTGCTAACCACAAGGTCAGCGATTCAAACCCACCAGCTGCTTCTTGTAAGAAAGATGGGACAGTCTGCTCCTATAAAGATTTAGTCTCAGAAACTCTAAGGAACAGTTCTACTCTGTCCTATAGGTCGGGTCACTATGAGTTGGAATGAACTCATAGTGTTCTTTTCTTTGATGTGTGTTGTAGCTTGGTGTGGTAGCTGCCAGGTTTGAATCCCTGCTCAGCATCTCATTAGCTATGTGACCTTGGGCAGGTGAGGTAACCTCTGAGCCTCACAATTCCTCATCTACATGATGGCAATACCTCCCCTTTCACAGGGTAATTGTAAAAAGTATGTTGTTGTTGCTAATTGCTGTTGAGTTGATTCTGACTCATCGCAACCTTGTATAAGGTTTCCGAGGAGCAAATAGTAGGTTTGAACCACTGATCTTGTGGTTAGCAGTCCAGTGCTTACCCTCAGTATCCCAAAGAATATATTGTTGTTAAGTGCCACTGATTCAATTCCGACTCAGAGCAACCCTGTACAGGGTTTCTGAGGAGCAACTGGTGGGTTTGATCCACTGAGTTTGTGGTTTGCAGCCCAATGCATAGCCTACAGTGTCATATCAGGAGTCCAAAGGATACAGTAACTAACATTTATCAAGGGCACTTCTGTAGCCTGCTGCAGGCACTGTGTGGAGTGGAGCTTTTATCACACATTATTTAGAGGAAACCAGGTCTTAAACAACTTGACGTAGGCCACTTAGCTTACCACTTTAGCTTGTAAGAAGAGGTGGTGGTGTGCTAGGGAGTCGGCTCTGACTCACAGTGACCCTGTATAGGGTTTCCAAGGCTGTAAATCCTTATGGGAGCAGAAAGCCCAATCTTTCTCCTGTGGAACAGCTGGTAGTTTTGAACTGCTGACCTAAGGTTAGCAGCCTGACTTGTAATCACCATGCTACCAGAGCTCCATTATAAGGAGAGGAGCCAGGCATAAAACCTTCTCTGAACCTCTGCTCTTAATGAGTTTATTAATACAAGTCCTGGCCCAATGCCTCCCTTATGGTACGAGCTCAGTAAATGCAGTATGTGCTCCCTCCCACCTCCTATATCAAGCCAAGTCTGCTGTTAAGAATGGAGCTCATTTATTGAGGGTAGGAGTCTCTGTTTCTCCCATGCCATGCCCCCACCCAGTGACCCAGGAAACACTGACAACTTTGTCTCTTATGCCTTCCTGCCAGGGCTTCTTCCAATGAGACCTTCAATGGGCTAGACTGGTGAGTGAGGCTTTGGGCGAGGTAGGGGTAGGGCCACCTCATGCCTCCTTCAGACACTGAGCATGCCTCTGCTTACCCTCAGTCCAGCTCCAGGGAGGGTGGCACTCAAGTATATGACCCCTGTGATTCTGCTGGTGTTTGCCCTGGCGCTGTATCTGCATGCTCAGCAGGTGGAGTCGACTGCTCGCCTGGACTTCCTCTGGAAACTGCAGGTGATTGGGTGGGTCCTGGGGCAGTGCGAAGGTCCTGTGGGCAGAGCCTGGGCCACACCAGAAGCTAGCTCTTGCTACCTGGCCAAGGGCCAGGTCACCCTAAGACCACTCTAGCTCAATGCCTGTCTCTTCTCTGTACCTATCCCAGGATCCTTGCCCTGTCCCGTCCCCACCTGCTTCACCCCTCTGCCTATCCTGTAGGCCTCATTTGCCCATGCCTTTCTTCCTTCATGTGATTCCCTCTGATGCCCAGCTCCAGGCTTTGGCCACTGCACCTACCCCTCATGAGTATTGGGCAATAGGTGATGGGTGTGGTGTCCACAGGCAACAGGGGAGAAGGAGGAGATGGAAGAACTCCAGGCTTACAACCGGAGACTGCTGCACAACATCCTGCCCAAGGACGTGGCCGCCCACTTTCTGGCCCGTGAGCGCCGGAATGATGAGCTCTACTATCAATCGTGTGAATGTGTGGCTGTCATGTTTGCCTCCATTGCCAACTTCTCTGAGTTCTACGTGGAGCTGGAGGCAAACAACGAGGGTGTCGAGTGCCTGAGACTGCTCAATGAGATCATCGCAGACTTTGACGAGGTGCTGGTCTGGTCCACTTGGACAAGTAGAGTATTTGGGGGCTGAGGGAGTGGGGAAAACTTTGGATAGAAGGTCAGGCTTGGAGGGGAAGTGGTACTGGAAGGAAGGGAGACTGACGGAGACCCTGGGATATCAAGGGTAGGAGTTAGAGTGGAAACAATGGAGGCAGGGACAGGGAAGTTAGCCCCACTGAAGATGACAAAGGCAGCTAGGGGGTCGGCCATGGTAGGACACGGTCATCACTGAAGGGAGTAAGGAGAACATTAGGATCTGGAGGGGGTGAGGGGAGCAGCATAGGTGCCAGGTCGATGCCATTGAACAGAACCCCATGAGCCAAGCAAGCAAGATGGTCCCTAGATAGAAAATGGAAGAAAGGTGAGGTGAGAATCTTGGATATCCAGGTTAGGAATGGGTCATTAGCTGTCCTGGTGTGGCACTGTAGGTTAATGCGCCAGACTGCAAAGCTGTTTGGACTGCAAGGTTGGCTGTTCAAACTCACCAGCTGCTCCTAGGAAATCCTATACAGGGTTGTTATGGGTTGGAGCCGACTCGACGGCACTTAACAACAACAACAATAGTCCTGGTGTAAGGAGCTCTGGTAGCGTAATGGTTACGAATCAGACTGCTAACCTCAGGGTCAGCAGTTCAAAACTACCAGTTGTTCCGTGGGAGAAAGATGAAGCTTTCTGCCCCC